GACTAGAAATTGACTAACCTACTGCCTGTCTCTGATTCCTATCTGAAGCGAACGAACTCAAAGAATAAGAGTTCGTAAGAGAGCTGCGAACTAAATTGAGCGATCCCAGTCACGAACTTATTATTCGCAAGACTAATTCGTCGTGTCCATGTTTTACATAATTCGACAATCCACAGAAGCACGTTCAGAAGGAAAACACCAAATGAATAATTTAGTTAACCAATTTGGGTCTGATGTAGGTGTGTATACACACAAGACAAGATATACGATGTGCAATTCATTTTATACATTTTATTTTGTATATATAACTAGCTGACCCGGCCACGCTTTCTCTGGGCTCAGTAGTTCTAATATTTAGGTCAATAAACTGTCCTATATTTTAAGGTATACAAACTTTTAGTCCCCAAATATAGTGTAGATAAAGTTAATTCTTATGGGAATGGGAATTGTACGATAGGATAATTTTAAATGCGAAAATTCGTGAGTATGGATGGATGAAAAGATATTATGTAAATTGGGCGAAATATAATGATAACTGTCAAGTAATTTTGATACCGAGAAAGTTGCGAGGGTTAGTTAGTGAAAAATATTTCTGATATACGTTTTAATAATTTCACTTTTTTTATTAGGAACCACCTATCAAGTACCTACGGCCGGCATGAATGAAAGTAAATTGTCCTGAGATAATTATATTATTATTATAAAACAATATACAAGTTCGATTTCTCGCCAGATCTTCTCAACTACCGCTTCTCAACTAACTAGCAGCCCGAACTAGACGGTAAGGATAGTGATAAAAATTTTGATATGCATAGGTGGCCAACAGTGAATGTGAATAGATTATTTTAACTGACGTTTGACTTTAAGGTTGACAAGCTACATATAGTGCATACATACATAACAATAAAGACTAATAACATATTTATAATACAGGTGGTAATGACATGATTTACTATTTAAATCCCCGGCGTATATCATTCACTAAATTATTTATAGGTCGACACAACCTAGATGACGAGATTTCGATTAGCCTACTGATATATAAATACAATAATACTATTGAATTTGGTAAACCATATAACCATAAGTACTAACCTACGTACTTCAGAATCATAAATTTTCAGGCGACCATTTTGAGTGTGGCTTTATTATGAAATATCCGATTTTGTATGACAGGTGCACAGCTGAATTGTGTATTCCGTTTTATATAAAATCATGGTAACAAATGGTTTTATATTTTGTAAAACAAACTGCCTATGTCGTCCGTAAAATACAAAGTTTACAATAGCATTAATAGATATTAATGTACTTGCTGTATGCTCGGACTTTGTCTGCACAAATTGTTACACACTATTACGACCCTTTTTAGTTTATTTATTGAGATAAAACATAGCCTATGTCCGTTCTCGTAATATCTATCTGAGTTTATATCAAATTTCACTAAACTTAGTTTAGTTGTTAAAAGTTAATAAAAATATAAACTTGCGAATTTATACTGTTTCCATGAATTATTAGCACATGTGATTCACATAAGAACACGTTAAGAGTGATATAACAACAACAATATTAATTAAGATACTTTTTGTATTGTAATAATAGAAAATATACATCGCTGAGAGAAGGCTCGACGGTCGACAATTACAATTAGAAATTATCTAATAAGCAGCCTATACTAAGCGACAACTTGGCAAATAAGACATTTTCCTTGGGAACAAGAATTGCACGTAATACTTATGAATGATAAGATTAATATAATGCTGATTTATTTGGTATAATATAATTTCACAAAAATATTTGCATTATTTTATTAACGTGGTACAATATGTTTTTATTCATGTAAAAGATCCTTATAACACACATGTCTGTCAGAAAATTAATAAACGGAGGTAATGAATTTATGAACGTTGATGGTGATAATGTAATAAGCATATAAGGCACATTATGTGTAATGGAAATGCAATAAGAGCATGAAAATTAGCAATAGAAAGTACTCATGTAACTGAACAACACTCAGTCATTTTGGTCTGAAAATTATCACCTACAGTCCAATTTACATTACATATTGATCTTCCAGATCAGATCTGCATTCTTTGTAATGATACTCCTCAATGGCTTGACCGATCGAGACCAAATTTCATCGAAGGTCGACCTTCGGGCCTCCTACGTTTACCAATAAAAAAATCCGATCGGTCATTCTCGACTTTTTAAGAATAAACGCTCTCCGCTCAACATATGACGTGGTGTGTAATCAACACACCGGTAACAAACCTAGATAAGTATGCAACATCATCTGTTGACACATAAACCATTAATTTTGCAACGCATGGATATTCACGTAACGACAACGTCCGCAGGGTTTTTTTAAATAGGTACACTGTCATGCAAACCTTAAGAATAGTGTTACATGATCAACGTCGGTAACGTTGATCATATAACACTATTCTTTTAGTATCACATAAGACATGTGCAAAAAGCCTATGATTATAAAATTTTGGTCTCTGCCTGTAGGTAGTTGTTATTAAATAACTATCTGTGCAATATAGGTACAATTTTTTTACATACGTTATTCGCGTTTAGAGTTGTGTATGTATTTAATTTATGATTAGAAATCATTAATTAAATACATGCGTGAAGTTATGTCCCCAGTAACAATCAAATAAATGATTTATATGTCTATTTAAAAATCATTACATGTAAATTTATGGTACTATTATTAAAAAATCTAAGATTAGATTATAAATATGAAAAGTAGTTTAATTTCCTGCATACTTCTTAGTGTTCTGAAGAACGAAAAAATGTATGCAAATACTATGGACCGCTAGTTTGAATATATGATTATTAACTAGCTTCTGCCTGCGGCTTCGCTCGCGTTAATTTATCCCTTTAGAGGTGGAATTTATCAAAATTATTTCTTAGAGAATACCTACGTCATAGTAGCTTTATGCATGCAAAGCTCAGCCCGAATGGTTTAAAATTGACAAAGTTACATAAAAACTTTAATCCCCTATTTTATCCCCTTGGGGGTAGAATTAATCAAAATCCTTTCTTATCGGATGCCTACGTCATAATATCTACCTACATGCCAAATTTCAGACCGATCCGTCCAGTGGTTTGGGCTGTGCGTTGATAGATCACTACGTCAGTCACCTTTGAGATATATATATTTATATATATATATATATATATATATATGTATATAGACAATTTCGACCTTATAGCAAACGAGGGAATTTACACAGATCTCTGAAAAAATATGAACTATTGTATAAAAGTGGGGCAGTTGTCTCAATTCCAATTTTCATCTTCACTAATCAATACCATATAATCAATAAATAAATACACAGCAATACATATTTTCTATGTAAATCTCATTTGGTTCTAGAAAAATGTATATTTTTATATAGATTCTTTGTAGAACCTACAAATAGAGGATAATAATCCCAATGAAATATAATGGCGTACAGAGGATACTGGGGCCGTCGAAGTTGCGGAATTTGTAGACTAAAATAGAATAGTCTACTATAATCCTATTAACACAAGAATAAGTGAATATTAAACTCAGCAATATTAACAATAACAATATAGATATATATTTACACTCTTTATATATAATATTCACAAGTAAAACTCGAAACATTTATTTTACGTTTTACCAAAATTATCTGTAAAAGTTTAATTATACAACAATCTACAGTATTGTTTTTATATATAAATATGAATAATATATAAAATGCTTCGTTTAAATATTTGCAATTACATTTCAATTAAGTCGAAATTTCTAAGATATTATCGTTTTAGCGCTAATTAATATTATTATGGCGGATTGACTAGAAGCTCTTAAAATAGCTTCACTCGTGGAACGACACTGAAAACCGTTTCGGATAATGACGTTATGTTTATAAAGCTATATTTATATCACACTATTTGTCGACAAAATATCGCCAAATTAAATATAGTAAATATTCAAATATTTATAATAAATTTTATTTCGTGTATTATAACAATTATATATAATTAAAAATATATTTCAAATTACAACCAAACCATGCATCTATATGTTATAATATTAATGCACCATGAATGATAGTCATATCTAATAAGCAAAACTAATTACTATTATAATACTGCACACATGCACTATAGAAATAATATGGAAATCTATGTTAACATAGATAACACGTTTTTAACAGACAGTGAACCCTTAAAAATGGTCTTCACGAAATGACACCATTATTACAAATCACATTTATATTGTTCGTGGTATTATCGATAAACAATATAATCATAATAATAAATTATTACGTAGTTATTATAATGAGATGCATATGTAGCATGTTTTAAACATTTATTATATTAGTCTATGGAAATCAGCTTTGGTTATTGTCAAAATTGAGAATGCAACACCCAGTCAATGATCATACGATCACGCACACCTCTATTTAGGGGATGGGATACAGATTAAAAAATGAGCAATTAGGAAATTAGGCGGAAATGTTTAATTTAAAATCTATAGGAACAATAGGGGAACTGAGCAAATATATGATGAAAAAACTACTTATGTCAATCGAAATGGTGAGATTTAGTGAGCTGCTTTACGAAGGTGCCGCAGCACCACGTCGATGAGCGAGCGGATCGTGAAGCGGGGGCGGGAGCGGGAACTGGCGCGGGCGCATGTAGCATGGTCCGCAGAGGCGCAAGGCTAGGGTGCGACCCGCTGCGTCGCTCGCGTCCACAATTAAATTTCACCCTACGTTCATCCGAACACTCCCACAAATTGGGATTGGAACGATTCAACTGAAACTTCCGCTCTGTTAGTAGCTTCCTCGTGTCCGGCCCACGATACAGGTAAGCGTCCGCCGCCGACGAGCTCTTGTTGCGTTTCACTTTCGATGTCTTGCTACAGCCTGAGTATTCTGGGGTCTCACATCGCTGGACGAAGTTCAGTTTAGTATAGTTATAGTGAGGTAGGTTAGTAGCGGGTGCGTGATATTGTACTTTACCGAGAGAAAAGTGGCCGCAGTCCACTGCAGGTGCGATATAAAGGCAGCCGCATGTAACAAAATAGAAAGATTCAGACTACCATATTATAATGATAGAAGCCCGAATGGTTAGCATTTAATATAATGGAACATTTTCAAGTAAATCACGAACAGTTTTAATGTGAAAGGTGACAGGCCGAAAATATAGCGAGGTTTGAGCGCGGTCAAGGCTTATTCGTTTGTTAGTTACAAGAATATCTTTTGCATAATGCTTGTTACGTCACAAATGCATTAATAACGGAAAACAGTGAGATTATTTTTGATGACTGCTGTAAATAGCGTGAAATCATAAGGGACCATTTTTATATTAAATCGACCGAGATTCCTTAATTGAGAAGTTATAAAAGAAAAAAGCAAAATAAAATAGTTACAAACGACTTGTATTGCGCAAGGACGCCCACTAACACAGTCAAAGTAAACATTAACCTAGTTCTGATTCTTAAATTGGATAAAAATGCGCTCTCAATTGTCGTCTACGTTCGAATGCTTTCTCAATTATCGACAAAATAAATAAATAGCAAAATAAGAAAATCGAAATACTTGGACACTTTAATAACACTACGTGACTAGCTACTTTGTACTGGTACATAATATTTAACTAAGTAATATAAAACAAGAAATTAAACTTTCTGCTAATTATATTATGGTTTTACGCAACTTCAAAGTACTTTTTTATATGGAATCTAACCAATCAGATCTACGAATACGAGTATAGTGAGTAGGATAGAATAATTAAAGCATGCCGCATTATCATGCATTTAGATACTTGTGCATATATTAATATACGTATGCGAATATATTGAGTATTATAGTTACAGTGATGATTGTATTAGGTGCATATTACACCAACAACTAAATTTGTACAACAATTACTCTGAAGCGTTCTTTTTTAACGACTAGTGATAATTTGGTTTTGTACAAATAAATACAGATCTTTCATTCTAAAAACCAACTGATAATACGGTTTCTTGACTTTGCCTGTCTCCTCCTTGTAGACTCGATTATCTCCAGTGGTATATTCGGTACTGCATAATAAATACAGTCATGTTAGTAGAAAAAATTTCCCGTCCTAATGTTAAATACGATTAATTAAAATGCATTCTAATTAAGCAAAGTGCTTATACATTACATGATGCTTATTAATGATAGCTTTACTTGATAATCTAGCATTTATATATTTGATGTTCTAGCAATTATTTAAACCGTTTTTTACTATTACTTGGTTATTATTGTATTGTACACTTTCATATTATAACGAAAGTAATTTAAGGGTCTTTAGTTAAGCAAATAATCGCTATAATATGAACGTGAACATAGAAAAACTACATAATACGAGTTAGCATAGGATAGAATATTGTAGCAATACTCACCGGAACTGACAGCGTTCCTGCACCGCGCGGAAGTACAGTACGCTTCGATAACCTTCAGGATCAGTGCGTCTTCCTCGTAAGAGTTTGACTTCCGCTGGTGGGGTGCGTAAGGGTGGGTCGGACCGATATTTTCGTCCGAGCCGACCGTAAATGATTGCGGTCTAAGCGGTGGCGCAGGCCGCAAACATGTTATGCTCCACCCTACAAGAACTGCTGTTTTATTATAGTGGTATGCTATGTCCATATTTGTTCCGGTTACTATTTAATAACTTTACTTTAATTACTATATGGAGTATATCATTTTTATAATCATTATTAGAAAATCACATTGTCATTTCACTACTGTGTGTTCTCTCTTATAACAAGAGAATTTAGTCTACTATGTTGAATGTTCCGTATCTTTCATTAATATATTTATAGTTGTTTGTTTCCTTATCTCTTACTACTTCCAAGGAGTACAAAAGGGAATAACATTGTATTTATAAGATGCCACAAAAACCTACATATTATAATAAAATAATTCATAATACAAATTTATAATAAATAAAATTAATATCGCATTCATTTCTAATAACAAATCAAACATAGAAACTGTTTATTTGGCAACAGTCTTAGTAAAGTGTATGAAATTTTAAGTTTATTGTTTTCTTAATAGCCACTAAAATAGGAAATCGCTTTTTAATTTTTACAACCTAAATAAATTCCAAATAAAAAGCTCATTAAATGGGTTACGTTTAAGAATATAAACAGTTCCTTTTTCAAATATTATTTTTCTATTTCACAATTACAACTTTGCCACAGTGACACTGCTTACTACTCATATGTATTAATCAGTTATAGTATCAATAATAGCATTGTGGTAAGGTACCAAAAATGACAAAAAAATATTTACATACATATTCGTTAAACGTGATTGTACCACTAATACGGTCAAAATATTTTGCTCACCTTTATTGCTGTAGTTCGAGCCAGAGCTATCGATGAAATCAACAGATGAGAATTTCTTCCCGATAGGACTTTTATTTGTTTTGGCAGGCGATTGATCAAGGGAGTCGCAGGAATTTAATAGCCAGCGCGCCGACTGGTTCTTTTGCTTGTTTTTGTGTGTTTGTTGCGTATGTTGAGTATAGCTTTGATGATTGTTGAATGAGTGTGATCTTTTGTGACTGGTTAGACCGGACGATATATCTGAGTTATTACTGTCGCTCATGGCCATCTGCAGAAAAAGATACTGTGGTTACTAAATGTCAAAATACCAAACATTTGTTTACAAAACAAGTATTGATAAACGCCCAGGCACGTTTTGCACATATTGTTTTCATAAAGTACACAAAATAAGAAAAAAACTTTTATAGCATATATACACATGGAACAGGAGTAAGAAGTAGACTCAGGAGTGTCAACATTTTATAGACTTTCTTGACGTACGAAGCCTAAATTTCCACAAATGATTTTTTTTATAATACTAGTAATATTTATAAGTAGCGGTTTATTGTAGCTTCATCAGCGCAAATTTGTTATTTTCCATTCCCGTGGAAATTTCCAAATGTTTGGGTGATTTGCCAAAAAATACTGAAACATGTGTTCTTAATCATTTTAGCTAACTACTTTGACACATTCTTTTGATCATCGCATAGGGGATAACATTTCGAATGCCCTTCTTATTCTTAGTGTACTGCAACACGTTAAAGAATGTACTATGTAAATTTGGTTTGCATATCCAATTATTTTGGCTTAGGAATGATAAAATCAGAAAGTCTGCTTTACCTATAATGAAGTTATTCATCACCGATTGCGATTTCTTTCTCTATTATGTTTAATTAAAACAATTTGCTAATGTTTTTGATCATCCCCTATTCCATTAGGAGATTTTTCCTAGCCTTCATTACAAGGAATAAATAATAGGAAATATCAAGCATTTCCATGCATTATACATATCTTAATATGTTAGTAGATGTGAAACTACTTGCAGTGATGTATTTTCTGTTAGTAAGATGAATATAAACACAGGCAAGGATGATCAAGTAAAGCACTGCAACACTGGGGTAACTCTAATGACAGTATTAATCTAGCGGGTACAAAACTTCAAGGCAATATTATCTTCAAACCAGTGATACATAACACAGTATCTCTTTACAAAATAATAATCCTTGCCTGAGTCGGTGACCACGGTAATCGGTAACTTTGCTTTCATCCACCAGTGTGCATACAAATCTGAACGATACACCACAAATCCCGTCTGCATATCAGTCAAACCCTTTTGCAATTTTGATAAATCTTCACTGCGAGATCTCGTTTTACGTGATTCATCAGTTTGTTTGTTTTCCTTATTAAACACATCGCGATTACGAGGACTATCCACACGAGACTGTCTTCCATTACCAATCTCAGTATTCTCTCTGAATATGCGCATGTGGTAATGCAAACTGGGCTTCGTGCGTTCGGTTATATTCAGGGTACTCCATTGGCACGGCAGTGCTTGGCGGACATTCTTAGGGATTTCTAAATGTGTACTGGGCTTCCGATAAATTCTAGGTGGCGGATCTGGTTTCAATTTTATTACAGGCTTATAATTATCAATGTTTCTCCTAATAGATGTCCTTTTAATTTGGGATGAAGACACTGGTGGATTCGAAACGAAGGTCGATGTAACATTAGCGTTTGTCGAATCCAATACGTCCAGGCTGTTCTCTGATGTAACGCTCGTCACGCATGATGTCCTAGCCGTGGACCCAAATGGCGAGGTACACCTGCATTGATCCTCAAAGTTAGCCGCCTCTATCTCTGATAAGGTTAGCTTTTTGCGACGATCGTTATCGTAGATACCTTGGGACATGTTAGTTATAGAACCCTTTATATGGTCCAGGTTTTTGTCTTGACTATCAGAGTCATGACCGGCGTTACCCGAGCTAGAATAATCGGGCATATTTAAGTCAGGAGATGTCAAATTACAACTTCCCGCAACGCCAGAATCTGAAGATCTAGGACTTGGACAGAGAGATCTGTTACAGCATTCACATTTCTTGTGTACTTTATTGTTTTCTGACTGCGAACTCATCCTCTGGATACGGTTTTCATCATTCTTATTGAAGCTTTCAGTTTCGACCATTGACCTAGATATAGAACGTCTGATTCTTTTATCAGAATTCAATGAATGTTTTCGAAAAGGTATTTTTGTATTAAGATTAACGTTTATGACTTTCATATCATCGTCTTCATTACGAAACATTGGTGGTGGATCAATAATAATCGAATCAATTGCGCTATATCGAAATTGTTTTGGCGATGGCGGAGATAAATTATAAACTATCTCAATTAATTTAGACTCATCACTGTTTAGTTCTTCTCGAGAATAACTTTCATCAGACGATTTCCAAAGTTTGGGGATTGCATTCTTTGCACTGCAATTGGGAAAACTTCGTCTTGTAGGAATAAAATCAGTTTCACTTTTAGTGTTATTTCGATGGTATGATTCTATTTGTGTATTTTGATCCATGTTCACCAAATCTTCACAGGCCATGTAAGGCCTAACTTCGAAACTGGAATTTTCTGTACTTTCGGAATGTTGAAGAAATGGACGCAAGCTATCCTTCTGTTCCTGTGTCGTCAATATTGGATCTATCACATTGACTGTATTGTGGCTTTCCTTTCTACAAGTTATATTTTGAAATAAATTTTTCGTACAATCACCTTTCAGTTCCTGTTGACAAGTATCATATGGTGTATCCTGGATATTATCGAAATACCGTACGTAACCAAAATTACTGCCACAACTACTGCAATCTGAGGACGGTGTTCGAGAACTAGCATTGTCCATAGCATTCTGTCGAAGTATTTTTGAACAGCCAGCAGAATAAATATCTGTGCAACTAGACATGGTGTGGGTTTCTGTAGTGTCAGTTTCCCTGTCACTTTCATCACTATCTGAGCATTCTGTTTCAGTACCAACAACGCCGTCGTTTTCTATTCTCAATCGTATGCGATTCTTGTGTCGTCTCATGACTGGGAATCCAGATAACTCGAACGCTTTTGCCCATGTCCTTTCGTGTAACAATTTTCGCAACATTCGCCTCGTTATTACTTTTTTCTTAACAAGTCTCGCAAAATATTTTGTTAGTGAGTAATATGGTGATGCAGAGGGATAACTAGGTGGTGGCAGTGTGACGTGGTATAAACTGCGGCGACTAGAGTTGATGCTAGTCAACGCCCCTTCAGAAGGAGATCGGGTCAGCTATGTAACATTATAAAATACCTTAGTTTCATTTTATGTATAAAATATAGTAACAAATAAAATAAATATACATAGTAATAAACCAATTGTATAATAGTTAGATATAAAAAACTTACATGTGGCAATGACTGTGGCTGTCCAGGATCATGAGAAGGACTACTAGTGTTCGAGTGTTTCTGAAGCAAACTGACCCAATTGTCTGCCTCAGCTTTTGTTTGACACACAGCAACTATGGTGTCTATCATGGGTGAACTTATTTCGAATGCATTCTTTCTAGTATCAGTATCTTCTAGCTTGCAAACTGTTATACCCGTCAGGGGAAGACAACCCTAAAAGAACAAATCATTAATTTTTGAACTAAACTATCAACCAAAATCTTAATAAGGGAAGTAGGGGATTATTTTCTAGATCGTTGGCATAATTTGGGGTAAATAACCCATAACTAAAGTGATTTCATTCTTTTTTGCTCTACTAGTGCCCTGCTAGTGTATACCATTAAAGCAGATGACCTCATCTATTTTAATGGGATATTGATATAATATTATCTTGTGAAATTCTTTGTATAATGTTATATTGAAGAATGATACATTTCTTTTGTGAAAATGAGTACAGTGAGGACTCATTTTCACAAAAGAAATGCATCATTCTTCAATATAACATTATACAAAGAATTTCACAAGATAATATTACATATAGAATGAAATGCTCTGTATGACTGTCGATCCTGGGGTAGTGTAGTGGACTACAGGATACATGAATATTAGTACTTCGTATTGACTATGATTATACTAATCTTATTTGTTTACTCACCTCATAAACAAAAGCAGAAACTCTTTTGCTTACTGACAATAATAATAAAGATGAAGGGAAAAGAACAAGGTAACGATCTTGATGTGAAGGGCCAACGGCCACACTTCCCATGTGAAGCACGTCACCAAGAGCCGATAATTCGCCACCAGGCCAACCTCGAACTTCGCCCGTTATCACTTGCAACTCTAGTTCTTTCTGGCGACGCAAAGCTGAACAAGCACTCTGCAACAATAAATAAATATTAAATATCATTAAATGAATGGATGAATATTTTTTATTTCTCCAAGAAATTTTAAATGCTATTGGAACATATAGTATATTTAATATTTAACTGCAGCATGTATTATATTATAACATTTGCAAAAGACTGAACCCAAAATTAGAAGATTTGTATCTTAGGTATTCAAGACCCCATCTCAGAGACATTGTAGTGAAATTTAAAGTAAACTTAAAGGTAAATAGAATAAGAGAGAAATAAGATAAACAAAGAAATATCTATATAGCTTAATTCACCCTAATGTTTTATCTGACAGATAATTTGAAAGTAAACAAAAGAAGAAAATCATTGTAAAAAATTAAAAAGTGAGGTAACTTACAGCAATATCTTTATAAACGACAGATGCCCGATGTGTGTCACCTCTATCTGGGTGCGCTTCGTGCACGTGTCGCGCCAATTCTTGTAACATAGCAGGGTATTTACCAAGTCGCCGGAATGGCTTTGATAGACCAGCAGTTAATACTAGCACTCCTGGACAGACAGCACCTGCATTCTCCATCCATGTATTTAGTTCTTCTCTGTAATTGGAAATAATATTAAAGAACAATAACTCAAAAAAGTTCTGATTGTAATATACTAGGTTGTACTGAATTTTATTCGACAAGCACTAAAACCAATTTATAAAATGAAAAAACTCAATTTATAAGTGTATCTAATAGCTGTTTAATATAACTGGTGCAGTAATATCTTGGTAATTGAAATGAACATAGGAGGAAAACCAGCAAGAAGAATCAACAATTTTGAACACATTTTGTGATTGATATATATTATTTATGATCAATGCAGTAATTTATCTTAATAATGTTTCAAGGAATGGGAGGACATGCACTTAAGGTTACGTAATACTCAAATTTATACTTACTTATATTTATCAAGTATGCAAACAGCTTTAGGATGACCAGCACAATATGTTTGGTGTACTGATTTAATTTTAGGTGCCCATTGCAAAAATAGACCACCCACTCTCTGGTCTGGGCCAGTTTTTGTTGCACATTCTTCTAATAAGGCTAGGAATTGTTCATGAATCTGGAGTACTTCATTGATGTTGCCTGTTAACTGCTTAAACTCATCTCTCGTAAGTCTAAAAAACATTTATTTATTAACAACCTTTCTAGGTCAGGGACTTTGCACCCACCAAGTTAACAGGACAAATTAAATTTAATAATGATTATTAATGATAGATATTATTATTAATTCTTACTTTTGACTTATTATTACAACTTATACAACATTGTATAAGTTGTAATAATAAGATAAGATTTATGGCAGATGTAGTGAATACATTATTCTATAACATTTTCTAGGTTTGCTGGAAGAAATATCTTCATAGAGATAACCTCACTCTTGCACATTACATATATCATATTACTGTTTATTTTTCCTTTGCATGTGTACAAAAAAGAATAAATAAATATATACATACATATATAATATGATTAGTTAACTACATATTATATTTTTAATTATCAGTATTATTTATTCCATTCATTTTGAAGAGACATGGCAAAAAATAGGTTGAGAGATACCTCTTTTAATAGTGTATTCAGTGAATAATCTTAGCATGATTTTGTCGAAAATATATACCCAATACTTAATCAAATAAAACATAAAAACTTATTTGTTATCTTTTAGTTCACTTATATAAATTTATATATGTATAGATAATTTTGATAATAGGATATGCCAAGATTGTTCATAAAATATGACATAATGAAATCAATGACAAAAAGTTTGTAAAAACTTAATTCACATTAAGACTATAAACTTGCATATAATATTGGTTAACAAATGTTCAAAAGAAATAACTGCATAAACAACTTACATATTACTTTTTTCTAAAGGCTGCAGAAAGTTACTGACAAGCCCTTGCATTTCTGCCACATGAGCTTTTTCAGAGTCAATGATATCTTTGAGCACCACATTTCTGAATGCTTGAATCTCGGAAGCAGCTCGTATTGGTGATGTTGTGACAGAACCAGAAGTATCTAAATATTAAAAAGATTTTCAATTTAAAGAGTAATTTAATACTTGACATTTGGGGAAGAGGGAGCTACTATTAGGAAATAGTTATGCAACAGACCTCCAAGCAGTCACTCTGGACAGCCAAGTACTTAATTCCTGATGAATTATGAATATCATGATGGGCTCACTGTCTTGAGTTCGTAATCATACTATTATGCTACACTGGTGCCCCATCAAAGTAAAGCATAATGTATGTACTAGGGTAGGTTATAGGGTACACTGCTACCTATTCACTTATACAAAAACACAAATAATTATCAATGACACATGTCAAATAATTAGGTAGTTACCTTTGTAGTCAGTCACATAATTGCTGGGAAACCATCCTGTGGTCTCACCGAGAGTACCTTCCCACCATCCACCTTCCTCCCTTTGTGTTACAGTGATTATATCTCCTTTCTTGAAACATAGTTCGTCATTATTCTTTCCTTTAAATGAATATATTGCTTTTACCAAGCAATTTTCAGCAGACATTTTATTTAGAGTATAGCACCATGTTATAATTATTTCTGAAAAGAAATATAAAAATTTTAGATCTGTTTAATAATAGACATAGTAATGAAAAGTTTTAACTGTACAAAGAGAAAATAATTTAACTCTTGAATAGAAAATTAAAATTTACAATTTAGATTTTATAAAATCTTCTAACAAACAGTATATAGGCGAGTACTTGAATTAAGAAATATGTAAGTCACAATTGAAGCATATTACAAACATTGAAAATATCTAGAAAGATTGGGATTGCTCTCAATAGGTATGTGGATATTTAACAGGAAGACGAGTAGTGTCAGGTCTAAAATAGTAATGCCAATCATTCATGCAAAATAGCACTTACATACTTAGTATATTATATTTATCTACACTTTAATCAGTAATGAATAAGTAATTATTAAAAACAAATGTTTTTTTGAAAAAAGATACTTACAAAAAGTAACAAATTACATCCGAATTTAAAGATTCCAAAAATAACCAAGGAAAGCAAAGCATCTATAATCATACTGTCAAATCACATCACAGATACAACGCAGTTAGAGAATGTCAGAAACTGTCAGAACTCAGATAATTCAGATATGTCAGATTATGCACTAACCATAGGTTTGTTTAATGAAACTATGTTATAGTTACCAAAATCAAATAAATTGAAACTAATAATTAAGTATAAACAAACCAATAGTACCTAATAAGTGTATTATTATAGAAATATACTATTTTTAACGTTAATAACAATTGTATTCTATTGTTTAAGATTTATTTGTATTTTAGAAAGAAATTTATAATGCAGACTATTGAAGAATTGTATAATTTGTAACCTTATATATAATTATAAATAATTAACTTAAAAAATTCTAATACCATGGAAAAATCTGCTGAAGATAATTTGTATCAAGCAATTCTGATAGAAGATCTGGAAGCTGTTTCTCATTTATTAAAACAAGGTATGTAGTTTTTATTTCAAATCTTTGGTTTTAAAGTCTAAATTATTAGGACACTATACAAACTTTTTTATATAGAAGACAAGATTCTATCATGGGAACCTACATAGGGTATGTAGCTTCCCATGATAGAATCTTGTCTTTCAATGTTCAGCTGTTTGGCTCCAAAAAGGTAAAGAGTAGACAAACATACATACTTGCGTATTTATAGTATTGCTTATACAATAATAATATTGTAAATTACTTAGGTGCAGCATATTTTGTTAGTATTTTACAAGTATATAATTATGTCCTTTTTCCATAGGTGCAAATCCAAATAAAACTGCCAGTCATGGCAAAACATGTCTAGGAGAAGCAGCAAATGTTGGCAATGTTAGCATTGTAAAATTACTCATAGATGCTAGCAGAACTAATCCTTCAAATATAAATTCACATAGTGGGGTTTCACGTAAAAGACATACAAAATCGCAGAAAAGAAAGTTGAGGCATGATGGACAACATGATGAAACTATTGTAAAGTGTAAAAATATCAGTGAGAGAAGTTTGAAGGATTATTACTGTAATATTGGTGCCCTACAAGAGAGTAACAGTATTGAAAAAAATCAGGGTTACTTTGTTTTTATACACAGTGAGGGTTCCAGTAGTGATGAAAGCAAAATGTCAAGTTTAAGGTCTCCTTTGAGCCCTACTACCTTAACACCCTCCCCTCAAGCTGATCTTGAGTGGGATGAGGATATAGGTAATGTTGCACCAACTACCAGTGAAGATGAAACATGGTCTTCTATGTATAAGTTAGTATTTATTATTTTTTATATTGAATATATGTATACATATTGAAACTATTTAACAACATGAATTCTTGTGTAATTATGAGCCTTCTATAAAATAGTAGTGGATGGATTCTACCATAGGTTTGTTTAACAATTAATAGGGCTTTGACAAGATTTGATGGTTATTTATTTAATAGTTTGCTAATAAAATTCACATTTCTTCCTGACCAGGTGCCTTTTGGTTTTGGTCCTGATGCATGTAGTTCTTTGATAAATTACTAGATACTGAATTAAGTCAGGAACATTTTATTAAAGTGAATAAACTGTATAGATTCAATACAGAAATGAAAACACATTGACCTAGCCAGAAAGGTTAATTACACTAACATCAGGTTTTAAACTTTTTTGTATAATAAATATTGATACTTTTTATGTTTTAAGGTGGTATGCAGCTATACTGGAATGTACAGGAGCAGCTATAGCAGCCGCTTCGGTAGTAACAAATGGTATTGATCAGCAAGACACTTTTATGAGAACAGCTTTACATTATGCATCAGAACAGGGCCATGTGGAAGCTGTAAAGTTGTTAGTAGATGCAGGTTTGCGAAAACTATTTATAACACTTTCTATTGCCTTTCCTTCAAAACTTGTCAACTGTCTAGATCTTGGTGAACACAACATCATATGTTTATATTAATTAGTCTATATTTTTGCCAACATTGTAATCTGATGTTTATATCAGATTACAAAAGCACGCTTGCGAACGCAAGCATGCTTTTGTATCCCATAATCATTTAGTTTGTTATTGGTGTTCATCTAACATCAAGAAGTCAGGTCAGAAATCTTTTTTGGTGTTCCAAAACAAAAAAGATCAAACTTGCAAACTTAAGATATATTCTTAGTAGAAGAAGTAAACCAATAACAATAACATGAAGTATAGCTGTATGTAATATAGTTATACTGCAGTATATATAAGGTATATGTAAAATAATGATTTGTTTTATTTACAGGATGTAAAGTTGATGTAGCAGCAAGTGATGGACTAACACCTTTACATGTAGCAGTTATAAGGAACCATTTAGAAATAGTCAAAATCCTATTAGAAAAAGGCAGCCATGTAAATTATAAAACCCATGAAAAAATGACGCCACTCCATTTTGCAGCATCAAGGGGTTTTTTAGATTTGGTAAATAAATTATTTTAATCAATAAGTATATAAGACAATACAGATAAAATTACATGGGTTTTGATTTTTAATAAAAGAATTAGTTGTCTAGTCATAGATAATGCATCTATAATTAAAGAAAAAAGATACAAATCAAGAAATCAAATATGTTTTACCTTCAGTATTATACAGATAGCTTATCTTTCTAGTATTTTTTGTTTTTACTTCTCCCAATTTAATCAATGTTTTGATATTGTCAAGGTTAAAATTTTAGTCAATAATGGAGGGTATTTAGAAGCGAGAGATACAAATGAACGTTCAGCCCTCTACTTGGCTGCAGGACGAGGTCATGTTGATGTAGTCAAGTATCTTATATCTTCAGGAGCTAATGTGAATGGCGAAGAAATTCATGGTAAGATTATTAGAATATTGGCTATTTAATTATTAACTCTTTATTATAACAGAAGTAAATTACAAAGAACATAAATCTGAATAAATAGGTACAAAAGGTGATCTTATCCCATAAGCAATTTCTTCCAGACTACTTATGGATAGAGGAGAGATATTTTCTTTCCTCTTCAAAGTGGTAGCGATTGTTATTTTTTATATAATAATAACATTTTAATAAATTCAATTATAATATCACATGATAAATCAAACACGAAAATCGTCCTAAAAAAATTAAGTGTGCTTCTATAAATTTGCAATTTCAATTTCCAACCAATTCTTCTGTTAATGAAAATGTTGCTAACAAACCTAATTACGGAATTGCCGAAGTTTGCGCCTAGCGTGCCCATAAAAATAAAGTAAAATTTACATAATTCACCAATATAGGTGCATCATTATTGTAGTAGATATAAAGTCTACATTATAAGTCCTTAACTCAAAAAGTCAATTGTAAATCTGTTATTCTTCTATTTCAGGATATACTCCTCTATGTGAAGCAGTATGGCAAAGATATACAAAGGTTGTTGAAGTATTACTAGCGTCGGGTGCGCGCATAACTCATTCTCATAAGTTATTGCATAATGCTATAATACAGAGACAGGTATGTTTAATTATGCATCTAAATCTGTTATTATAAATTACAATATATTGGGAATTAAATATAATAATTAGTTACCTAAAAATACTTCCGACAGGACTGATACCCTTTACTAAAATCATAGACGTCGCATGCCCAGTGTGTTAATTTTAGGGTTCGAGTGCTATCGGAAGAAATATCTATCTTACATTTCATTAGCATGTTGAAAATGTATCATTCATTACTTTTTGAATAAAAAAAATGTATATCTAGGAGGAGATAGTGAAAATGCTTGCTAATCTTGGTGGAGGTATAAATTTACATAATGATAACGGCGACACGCCGCTACTATTGGCGGCGCGTTTGTCACAACCCAGTGTTGCACGAGTATTACTTGAAAAAGGTAACTTGAATTTATTTAATAATTTCCAAAACTATAATGTTTGGGTAATTATAAATTAATGCAAAAGATTATAGGATAAACTTGCATAAAGCAGAGGCATTGATAGAAAAAATCTACTATTATTTTTAGAAAAATTACAATAATTGTTGTAATTAATTGAGCTGACCTAAAACTTAAAGCTACTAAGTAGTACACAATTACTAAAATCTAAAGTTTTGTTGCCAGAATAATAATGTATTGAAGTCCAATTTTAGTAACGAGCGTCTACATCATCATATTTTTGTTACAGGTGCAAACGTTAACGCATGTAACAGCATAACAGGTGCAAGTTGTTTACACATTGCTGTTGAAAGCATAGACTGTCCAAAGGAATTTGAAGAATTGCTTGTCTGTTTATTAGATTATAAAATAGATACAAATTCAACTGCTCTAACTGGTGACACGGCATTAAATAGAGCGTTACTATTACATAGGTGTGTATCATCATCATTATCTTATATATAAAATTCTCGTGTCACAGTTTTCGTTCCCATACTCCTCCGAAACGGCTTGACCGATTCTCATGAAATTTTGTGAGCGTATTAAGTAGGTCTGAGAATCGGCCAACATATATTTTTCATCCCCCTAAATGTTAGGGGTAGTCCACGCCTAAATTTTTTTGTTATTTAGACAAAATTTTTAGTTTCTATTTTTTTATTATACAACATACAAAAATACATACAATCCTAAATTTTCACCCTTCTGTCGTCAACCCCTAGCGTTGTTAATTTATATGGCAAAACAACGTTTGCCGGGACAGCTAGTATAGTATAAAACAAAGTGTTCTGTCTATCCCTATGTATGCTTAAATCTTTAAAACTATGCATCGGATTTTAAAGCGGTTTTTAAGAGATAAGTCATTCAAGAGGCAGGTTTATATGTATAATACATGTACACCCTGGAGCAGCCGGAGCGAGTAGCTAGTTGACTATAAAACTTCTATATAATTTATAAAAAAAAATTTTTTTTATATTATAAAAAATTTTTATATATCTTGTAACGCGCAACTTCTTTTGAACTACATCTTCCCCGTTTTTGCAAGATTTTTCAGTGTTTCTTTTCTACTTAGCGTAAGGTTAAATACCTTATAGCATTCTTTGATAATTGGTCTATCCAACACTAAAATAATTTTCTAAATCGGATCAGTAGTAGATTACTATAAACATCCAAACTCACAAATTTTACCTCTTTATAATATTAATATAGATTCCTTTATTGTTGATCGTATAGAAAAATATTTATTCAGCACATGGTAAAAAGCAATAAATTGGGATATGGAAAGAAGTTAGCACTATTTCAATGTCGATATTTATAGGTATATTATGTATTTCCTACAATCAATTTGTAATCGCTTGATAAAATTATTTTTAATTACAGAGACCATGCGGCAGTGTTACTAATAAGACATGGTGCGGATGTGAATGCTTGCGATTTACATTCGTGTGGTCTGGATAATTTATCTATTGCAATTAGAAAAAAATCACCAAATCTTGCTGCCATGTTGTTGAAGGCAGGGCATTGTACAATGCCAGATTATACTACCAATGTTCCTAAAGCAGGGACTACGGCTTATTGGCTCTACCATACTTCAAAACAGCCACTAAACTTATCTGACCTGTGTAGAATAAATATTAGACATTCATGTAGAAATACGAGACTGTTTTCTTTTATAGAAAATTTGCCTTTACCAAAGAGCTTAAAAATATTTTTAATGATGGAAGACGAAGGTCTATGATAAAGTAGTAAGTAGAAATTTTTAATTGACCTAAAATATATTATGTATGATCATGTTAAATTATGTATTCTAGAAATAAAAATAAACTAATGTTACAAATAATTATTTTATTTAGTACAAAGATACAGTCAGTACAAAGGTGTTTATAAGTGATAATACAAAATATATATATTGATTAAGAACATACACTTCTCGTACAAATACATTTCTGTGCTAGTCCACTAAGTGGATACACTTATTTACACACACGTCAAAATATTGACATAATTTAAATAAATGAGCTGCTACCTAAGGCTCACGAGTATTGTGTATAATGATAATAATCTATACTATATAAAAAATGACATAACATAATTTTTGATCGTTGGCCGCTATAATAATTTGTATCTGGGTATCTCAAACTTGTGGCATCACATATTCTTATTAATTTGCCAGTTTTTTAAGGAGGAACTTAAAAATGCAATACAATAAACTCTTATTAAAAAGACGTATAAAAGAGTCAAGTTACTGTAATAAAAATGGTGTCCCTTGAGTGGCAAGTGTGCACCTCTTTGTCTTAGATGATCCGAATATTAGGTTTATAGTCCTAAATGGTCGATCGTAGTACCCAAGTTGAGTTTATGGAATGAGCTCCTAAATTCTACGACCTAAGTATCTTCGAGGTTGGTGTTGTGGGCAACCACAAAGTATGGTTAAAGCTGTAAACTGTGTGATGTACATTGCTTGTCACATTTGTAAATCCAGATAATACTGGAATAGAAGTACACATATTATTCAGTCTGCATTGACTGAACATTGTGCTACTAAGTGCACATATTTTAAATATTTTAAGAACTGTATAATCAAATATTATTTTATTTTAATTAATATTACATTAATACAGTTTGCTGGTAAACAAACATACAATCAGAAAATCCTTTTAATAACTTGGTTAATTGAAGAATTTCAAGATGCAGCATGATTATCACTACTAAGCCAACTAAAATCTATTTTAATTTATAACTTACATCTACAATATATATTACGATATACAAATAAATGATATGGTTTCTATTCACCATAATTCCTATTATGTGTGCTCACATATTACCCGGTTAATTAAATTGAGAAATACAATTAAAAAGGGATAGGGGATAAGGGATTAAATAGGGATATCAAATAACATATAAAATTCAAATCTCGTGATTTCAATTGCTATCAACATCCTATTAGAAGCCAAGAGAGCTGAAGTTCGGTTGTAGTGTGGTGTGTGGATGACATGATCAATCTATCTGTTACAGAATAATAAGTAGAACTTGAAAAATCGGATAATATGTGACTGCCTACATATTTCCTTTATAAGATACAGATTTAAAAACATTGACTTATACCTATTCAAGAAATAATATTGTATTACTTTAAAAGTCTGGCTTAAGTATAATTTCAACAAATTCATAAATAAGGCAAACTAAAGTAACGAGGATGAGGAAATAAAGAGATCAAAATCATGGAAACTTACTCAACTACAAAGTCGCCGTTAGCTGACCTATTGCTAGAATGTTTGTCATATCAAGGTCTAACCAGCACACAGTATGCATGTTGTTGATGTGTTATAATTCTGGGTGCATTACAACACATCAACAACATGCAGACTAAACAATTGTGTAGGTGAGTCAATGGTTTTATAGTCAAGGAGTGTTCATTGTGATAACTTTTATTTTAAACCTTTTACGCCACCCATGTGCAGGAGGCTAAGTCCTAATTAGTTGTGAAGGTGTAGAGTACAATTTATAGTAATTGTTACCGATGTAGGTAACAATTTACAGTGTGTGTGTAGTTGGTAATAAATGGGATCAGATTTAGTTCAAATTTTAGCTTATAATATTTAGGCTTAAAAATTTGATATTCTAATTATTAGACGTATTACACCGTAATACAGTCTTGGTTCTATTATTTTCTATATAAAATTAAATCTAAAATCTTATCAGTAAAGAAATGCTAATAAAATATACATAATATCAACAAATATTCATTATACAAATCAAATGACAATATATCATAAACTTTAAAACAAAGCAACAGAAATATTATAATATGATATTGCACACAAGGAAAATTATGAAAAAAGTGCCATAAGCATTTCTAACAAGCATCTTCACTTATCGCCATAATGCATACACAAACTAATGACATCAAATAAACTTCATTTAACAGCACTTTTCTTGTCTTTTATATTAATGAGTTGGGGATATGTAGTATGCAAGAAATCAACTAGGTCAGTTTTATTATTTTCAATCGCCTTGTGAAGAGCTGTTTGGCCATCAACATCTTGCATTTCCACAGAGGCACCAGACTGAATGAGGAATTTTACCATATCAGTCTTACCTATAGCACAAATTGTTTATGTATTTTAACTGACAAAATATAGCATTATAAAGTAATATATATAATATAATATACACAAGTTATCTTCAAGGACTTTGAGTTAAACAGTAAACAACATATATATGACATAGATAATAATATGATTCACATAGTAATTAGGAAAGAAGCAGAATAGTTTGGATAAATATTTTTATTGTGATTATAAATACCACTCTGATATCTCACATAATAATAATGTAAGCCTTTATTCAGACAGTACACTATTTTACATTGACTAATTATGTATATGTATAAACAAATTATGCATCAACAACCTGTCTGCATGCCACTAATTGGTAAAGGTTTCCTCTAACATTATTGATTTCTTTCTATCTCACATATTTATTGTTTAACTCATAATTAATGAATGCATCTATATTACCTGCTGCTGCAGCTTTATGTAGAGGTGTCGCCATACCACTTCTGGTTTGGGAATTTATGTTTGCATTATTTTGTAGTAATATTTTGCAGATGTCTATATGACCAGTGCGTGCAGCATAATGCAGTGGAGTGTAACCAGAATTATCAACAGCATTTACAGTTTCTTTAATGTTTTTTGCTTTTTCAATCAAGTATTTGACTCTATCTATGTCACCATAAAAAGCTGTGAATAATAATATTACTGTGAGTAAATAAATATTTGAAGCAAAGAATTAATTGACTTTCAAAAAACATTCAGAATGATATCAAACGAAATAATTCTAATCACTATATAAATGGATTGTGTAATTTACAGATCTGTCACTTATATTTTAATTCCATTTTCAACAATGTCTATAAAATAAGAGCTAATTATATGAATAAAATAAAAAAATTACAAAGCACCAGTAACATACCTGCATACCATAAACCTCTTTCCCAATCCATTTCAGACAATGTCTGACAGACAGATGCATTTGAATTTGATGATGTGCAGCCTGCATGATCACATTCATGGTGCTCCATATTATAGTTATAAATGTATGTGATTACTTAAAATTAAAATGTTATGAAATATTCTATATTTCACGTTGCATGGTCCATGTGATCTCTGTCTCGCCAGTGCTTGAGATAATTCTATATCCCAATTGACTTAGAGAATTTAAAGCATCCAACACATTAGTTTTAATAGCAACACCATTTACTACAACACCTGAACCTGGATATTTTTTTGTCAATGCCTTTATTTCTTCCAGTCCTAAACCAAATGCAGAACAATCATGTGCATGTAAAGAGCCTTTAATTGCAATATAGACAACAGAATTTTCTTCTAGTAGGGCTTTAGATGCTAGATTGCTTGCCGATATATTTTGACCACCTTTTGTATCCATACTAACAACAATTTAAAGAAGGATATGTTGCAGAATATGTGACTCAATTAAACTTCGTCGTCTTTATTAGACACGAAATTGGTCAAGTGCATGGCCTCCTTACTAAAATTTGTAATGTTATCTTGTTCAACAATAATAGAAGGCTCTGGCTCTGAGAACTCTTTTCTCATAGTCCACATATACTCATTATAATCCTGCTTGACCGCTGTCGAGCTTGATGCTACTACTTTGTAACCCAATACCTAAAAAAACATTAATATATTACGTATGACTCATTTGTCAACAGGTGCAGCTAGCAGTTTTATGGTTAATGCATACTCACCTCTAATGCACTTAGAATGACACAAGGATGTTGTAAGTACACAATTGTAGATTCGTCGCAATATCCGCCACATGTGAATCTTTTTAATTGCTCTATTTCACCAGCTATAATAACATAATAATTAAGGTAAGGTAAAAAATACAATGTCAGATTCATAAAATATACAAGTGCATTATGTAATATGTAAAGTGTTGCAATAAATAATGACAACAAACAATAATAAAATCGTAGGTAAGTATAGATATTGCTACGCAAATTATTTATCAACATCTACCTTTCAAGCCGGATACCAAAACGCGCCATGGGTTTCTGTGGCCGTATGATGCAAGATTGCCTCTGATCAAGATGTATGGCATTGATTACGGATTATTTTACAGTTATTTCAATTTAATTTATATATTATAAATCGAAAGATTAATTAATTTACTTACTTCTTGCCTTTGCTTTACAATAAGTATATTTACTTAGACTATTTTTTTTTTTTTGGTTTATTTATCCGTAATGGAAAGGCAAAGAGTCTAAGCCCACACAGCCGTTGTCTTTGGTATAATTTCTGTATTTTTATTTCTTTTTTCCTTCTTCAGATATCTTCTACTGTGGAGACAATATATTCATAAATTGGTTTGTATGTTTCTTGATTTTTAAGTAAAATCTGAATAGTGCGCGGGATATTCAGATCCTTGTAAATGGACATTAATTTGTCAATTAGAGCTAAACGTTGTATATTGAATTGTTGACAATCGAAGAGTAGATGATCCAGAGTTGTACTTCTCCGCTTGAACAATAATTACACACTGGACTAGATATCATTTTCATTCTACACAAGTGTTCATTAAATCGTCCGTGTCCAATTCTTAAGCGACTTAATGTCGTATAAAATCTTCTAATTTTAATTTTTCCTTTAGTAAACCATGGGGATTTAATATCCTGTTGAATTTCTTTTAACCATTTTCCTTTAATTTTAGTAGATTCATCCCAAAGTTTTATCCACTGATTTTTAATCCTTTGCTTTATTTCTATAATAACGTCTCTGTCCGGAATTTTTATTCTCTTCTCTATTTGATTGACAGGACAGTTAGTTATTAAACGAGCTAATTCATCTGCTTTCTCATTACCAATTACTCCAATATGGGAAGGAACCCAAATTAGAATAATATCTTTATGTAATTTATGTTTCAGGTCGTGCATCTTACTGCGAATACTTTGAATTACAGAGGAAGCGGTTAATTTATTATGAGAATCGTTCGAAAGAGCCATCAAAACACTCATACTATCTGTTATGATTAACCATTTGTCACAGTCAAAAGTCTCTTTAATGTAGTCTAAAGCCTTAATAATCGCATAAGCTTCTGCCGTAAATATACTTGCATTTTTCGAAATTTTGGTACCACTTGCCATTTGTTCTGTGCCATCATATATAGCAATGGAAACACATTCTTTATTTTTTGCTCCGTCGGTGTATATTTGCCTATATGTGTTCCACCGCGACAGGTATTCATATACGTCATATTTATCTTTTAATGTTTTATTAATATTTATAGAAATTTGAGAATAGAGGGCATCATATGAGTATCCATAATAACTCGGAGATGGTTTAATATAGATATTAAAATTACGGACCCAATCAATAAATTCACTAACCTTTTCAGAAAGAAAAGTTTTTGGAAATGAAGAATCTAGTAGTTTAATTAGCAAGGTATTTTTATTTACAGAAAGTAATTTCAACAGAAAGGTAAGTTTTAAAAATTCAAATCGTAATCTTAATGGTGATAAGTAACACTCTACTTGCATAGAATTTATAGGTGAGGTATTCATAGCACCCAAAATTAATCTAAGATTTATATTTTGAATTTTTTCAAGTTTTTCTACATAAACATTGTATTCACAAAAGCAAAAGAAAGCATATTCAAAATGTGTTCTAACTAACGATTTATATAACATCAATAGAGTTTTAGGATCTGCTCCCCAACGAGTGCCTACTAATGATCTAAGAATATTAGTTGACATCATGGCTCGATCTGCTAAGCAATCGACATACTTTTTCCAACACATTTTGTTTTGGAATAAAACGCCCAAAAATTTTACTTCCGATTCTATTGGTATAGTGTATCCATTGTATGTAACAGATAAATTTGAAAGATCTAAATTAAGATTATTATTCTCAAATAAAATCATTTTACTTTTCGAAGGACTAATTTCTAAATCAAGATATGAAAAATATACAGATAGATTACGTAGAGCATTGTTTATTTTGTAACTAATGTCTGTTAAATTATTTCCATAGCAATATATTGCTAAATCATCAGCAAATTGAAGATTATTCACTTCTCTACCCAATACTTCATTTAATCTATGGACGTACAATATGTACAAAAGAGGACTTAATATACCGCCTTGACACACTCCGATATGCGATAACCAAGGTCCAAGACATGTATTATTAGTGAGCTTCACATATACTTCACGACCATTCATAAAATTAAATATCCAGCGTACTAATTTATTTGATATTCCAAGTGAAGCTAGAATGTCAGACATAACATTATGATTGATATTGTTAAAAGCACCGATAATATCCAAAAAAAACACCAGCAAAATGTTGCCTATTTTTTTTAGTTCTATTTATGTCCATATATAAATGACATAAACTTTCGCGAGCCGAAAATCCACGTCTAAAGCCAAACTGATTCGGCGGTAATATATTTTGAGATTCGATAAAAAATTCGAGACGTTGTTTTATAAGTTGTTCAAAAATTTTTCCAAAACAGGATGTTAAAGTTATAGGTCGATATGAATCAGCTTGTGAAGGATTCTTATTTGATTTTAATACTGGTATTAAACAATCAGTTTTCCATTCATTAGGAATAATAGAATTAAGCCAAAGTAAATTTAGGATATTAAGAAACATTTCTAAATTGTTTTCATTTAATTTTTTTAGCATTTTATATGACATATTATCTAATCCTACAGCTGTATCCTTCCTACTTTTTACTGCTGTTTGAAGTTCTACTAATTTAAAGGGCTGATTAAAAAAACTATCAGTATGTTTAAAAGTGTCATCTATATAAAGAGGTCTTGAGACAAAATCAGGAGTATATTTGTGCAAAAAATCGTCAATCCATGGCATTAGATTGTTGTTATTACCTATATAAGTTTTATTTGAATATTTTTTATTAAATTTTCTCAAATTTTGCCAAATGGTTGAAATTGGTGTTAATCTATTTAAATTTGAGCAGAAATTTTGCCAGCTTTGTATACTAAAGAATGTACATTTCTGATTGTTAATTTTTTTAATGCTTGCAGTCTTTTAAATGTAATATAATTGTCTATGGTAGGATCTCGTTTAAAATTGACATAAGCATTTTTACTATTTTGAACAGCTGATGCGCATTCTTCATTCCACCAGGGAAGAGGACAATGTTTATATTTTTTAATACTGTCACCTTGTGGATGCGACAATTTTTTCTGTATTGTTGACTTTCTGCCTAATACTATATCAACGGTGTCTTGCATAATTTTACAGAAGCGCTGATAAGTGATAATGGGATCATTCTCATTAATAGAAAAATCCTGTAATTTTGTATTAACTAAAATACTATATGTATCCCAGTTTATTAGACGCAAATTACTGTGATGAATTGAAACAGTACCATTAATTTGTGCTAAACTATGACATGGAGAATAATCATTTCCTACGGTTAGTTCGGTCACTGTAGGGAGATGATAACTACCTATGGGGTCATCGTGTACATACCATTCACACATAAGTGCTATGGTCGGACTAACTATAGTTAAATCTAAACCATTAGGTTTCCATATATGAGTTCCTACAGTTGTAGCTTGAGTATCATTAAGTAAAACCAAGTTGCATTCGTCTAGTGATTCTAAAATATCTCTACCTCTAGTTTTAATGATATCACATCCCCAAATAGTGTGATGTGCATTGAAATCTCCGGCAATAATGAATGGTTTAGGTATATTATTTATAAAATTTATGAACTTAGATTTAGAGAATGGTGTGGTACAATTTGTTGGGCAATAAACAGTAGCAAAAGATATTTTCTTATTATTAACAATAATCTGTACAACCAGATTTTGTAATCCATCATCAGACATTATATCAATTTTATTATATGTTATACTATTATGCAGTATAATAGCAACACCATTATGATGGTTACCTGAGTCATTTCTTACTATATTATATCCTTTGATTTTATATTTATGGTGTGGTCTTAACCATGTTTCACAAATTAATGCAATATGAATATTTTTACTATATAAAAATTGTGAAAATAAATGTCGATTGCTCAACAGACTTTGAGCATTCCACTGTACTATGTTTAATTTGCTTATTGTGAATTTTGAATACTATTTATTTTAGTACTGAAATTTTCAGTAAGCAGTTCTAGTACATTTTTAGAGCAAATTGATGTATTTTGGGTCTTATTTAATGTTATTAATTTAACAATGGTCTCTACAAGGAGGCCTAGTGATTTGTCATCATTTTTTAAAATTGAAATAATGTCATTATTCTGTTTATTTAGTCTGTGTCCAAGAGTGGGAAAAGATTTGAAAGTGTCTGCATATGAAGGTCTTTGTGCTTTATTTCTATTCTCAATATTTTTTTTTTTTGTTTTACAGGGCACTGTGATGAGACACTTATATGGTTCCCATCGCAATGGAAACACTTGGCATTATCAATTGGTGTAGTACATGTTTTAAAATTATGGTTTCCTTTACAAATAAAACACCCGCTCTATTTGACTTCCCGCCAAAAAGTCCGGAACAGGACTCTTCGGCTGATATTATACTTCCTTTAATTTATCTCAGCATTCTTGCAAAACTTTGCAAAATGACCATACCTTAAACACCGGAAACATTGTTTAACAGGAGGAATGTAAGGTGAAATATCATGTCTCCATACCTTCCAGGTCCACATAGTCGGGCAGAACTGATGCAGCAAAAGTAATGGCTACTGTCTGTGTTGGCTGTAGATAAAAAGTAACATCATTTTTAACTTTTCTTAAAAAACGTCGAATACAAATAATTTTCTTATAGCTTGATAACATTGTGTAAATCTTCATATTGGATAAATTTATAGGGACATTTCTGATGACTCCTGTGACTTCGGTTGAACCTGCTGGAATGCTAGCTTTAAACTGGTATTCTTTCAAAAATGTTAAATTGTTTAAGAATGCATTTGCAAGACCTGGCTTCTCAAAGTAAACACCGATTTTATATTTATTTAGGCTTCTAAGGTATTTTACCCCTTTATTGAATATTTTTTAAGCAGGATGATAAGGATAAAAGATCTCTGGATGCCCTATGGCGGTATTAGAATCAGTAGACTCAACGAAGACAACAAATTCAGTTGCACCGGAGTCTTCTGGGTATCGTCGATTATAATCAGTAACAAAATAA